TGAGTAATAAAGTGGAGAAGAAAAACATATGCCCCGTCGTCGCTAGCCCACTATCGTGGCCGGATCTATGATCGCATCCATCGATTGTTGTAGATCTCGCAGATCTGGTAAACAAGCAAACATGAGAAAGAATGGAAAGAAGAAAATGAAGAAGAAGAAAAGGAAGGAGCAGTTTTGGAGAAAAAAGGGGCCGAATGGGGAAAGAAAAGAAGAAATCTGATCCAAAGAATGATTTGAAGATCTAGAGAAAGAAAAGAAAGGCAAAAAAGGATAGGGGGGTGAAGACGAGGGAGAGGAGAGAGAAGTAGAAGAGAGGTGGAGAGAGAATGAGAGAGGGTAGAAGAAGAATGGCAGAGATCCGAGTGAGAAAAGGAGAAGAAGAAAGAAAATAGAGTAATTGGGTGGGGGTATTTTGGGTAGTTTATGTGTTAAAGAGTAGAATGGGAACATCATTTCCGGACGGAAAAAAACGTACAATGGGAACATCATTTCCGGACGGAGGGAGTATAATGCTTCTGCTATTTAAATGATGATTTGGGGCTCCTAGTGTGTTATATTCAAAAAAAAATTAATGGTTTTGACTCTTCTAACCTCCCTCCTAAGCCCATCTCCCCTCCCCCTTATCACAAATTAGCACCACCATTAATTCCATACTATAACTACATCCGCCATGAACTCCCTATCATATCCACCTCCATTATTTACGCATTAGCATATATACCTTCATCATTCACTCACTCGATCTCCTAATATCTCCACCAATAAAGAAAATGATAGATAGATAAGATATGGAACATGAAATTATAGTTCTTTCTACAAAATTAGAGGTACTTGATAGTAATTTTAGAAAAGAAAATGATGAGAAAATAATGGAACAAGGGATATGACGGGAGGATGAACAGAAAGTTCATATGGGATTAGTTTTCAGATATATTAAGATTTCTCGAAGTATACTTTTAAAGACGATGAAATTTAATAGTTTTTATTCCGTATATCACAAAATCGAGGCTATCCATAAATAAGATTTTTTTAATAGGAGTGCAAAATATTTGAATCTCGCCAAAATTTCCCACGTCCGCGATGTGTCCCGCGCGTTGATTGTGCATGGGAAAGGCGCATCTACAGAGTATTAATTTCTTGCGCCACTCATTTGATGTGCTTGTATTAATTTAACAGTTCTCTTTCAGACCATGTAAAGAAGAGCAAAGGTATGGATGTGGACATGCGGTTGGACTAGATCCATGTTTTAAAAATACCGTTGTTGTGGAGGATTAGACTAAGATTAGTCTTTTTTTTTATGAATCATCAGTTCTAACTGATTAGGTCCTGAAAACAAGATTAGAGACCAAACACGTATAGCAATCACTGTAACCAATTAACGAATGAAAGGGGCAAGGAGTTTGAGGTAAGAAGTATCTACTTTTAAAAAAAAGCATCATGGGCAAGGGGTTTAGTAACTACGCACATGAATCGCCCCTTTTAAAAAATGCCCATGATGCTAATTTAATGCTTTTTCACCCGACATGCATGTATACATTTTACAACTACCACGATCATAATTTATTTCTTTCCTCTCAAAATAATTTAAAAGAGATGCGGTTTAACACATTACTCGGAGTGAGATGGTGTTTTTGAAACGGGGGAGTATATAAATACATAATAATTCATTCATCACGTCACGTGCTTTAAAGCAAAACGCTTAACTAGTGTATGTACTCCCAGCCTATTAAGCATATCATCTGGTTTTACAAAATTTTTGATTTTGTATATCTAAGACCATGTGTAGAATTACAGACCTGACCACCAGGCATCACGGAGCTCTAACCACAAAATAAAGAACTACCAAAAATAATTTTCTGTTTTTTGAAGCCACCCCAGACTAGATTTCGGGAAGAAAAAAAATCCAAAATGAACTTATTGTTGTAGTTTACAAACAATAGTCCAAGTATGACATAAAATTTACTCCGTATATTTAAAAATTAAAGACAAATTTTAATTTAACTAAATGTTTTTTTTCTGTACTTATAAAATGATCAAAATTACTTATAAGCAATTTTTGAATTATATGTCAGCTGATGACATATTTCTATGGACTTATGAGCTGCTTATAAACCATAAAAAAATAAGTAAATCTTAACTACTTATTTTTAAACTAATTTGTTTATTTATCCGCTTTGACTAGATTATTTACAAAATTATCTCACCATTTATGAGTATTTACAAATGATTTATCTATTATTTAAATTATTTTACTTCCACAAAAAAAATATTTAACTTATAAACTTATAAATTAAGAACTACTACGTACTTATCAACAATAAGCCAATAAACAAACACAAAGAAACAATCCCTAAATTTTTCCTTTTGCAAGGTTCTATTCTTGACACATGCATTTGACTGCTTTATTCTATCAAATTCTCCGCAATCAATAAAGCATGTTACGAAAGAAAATATATGGAGTAATTTGATCATCTAAGATCATGCCAATAGTAAACGTGAACTACTCCTGGTATTAATCTAAGTCATGATAGAAAAATGGGGAAAATGATAAACATAAGTGGCACAACTCAACATGACTCAACTCAATGAAGTAGCCACTGGAAACACCAAATGCACAGTATAAGATGTACTCCGTATTCATCTTCCTGATAACTTTAATTTGGAACATGCCAAAATGGAAACACCATTTTGGGAACATCCCAAAAAAAAAACTTCATTTTGGGACAGAGACAAGGGAGCATATGCTTGGGATTCTACTTAAACGCAAAAGGGGCTTGTTCTTTAATAGAAGGTGATTATATTCCTACAAACACAAAACTCTTCTGGAAACAAGAGCTCATCAAGATATCCAGCCATTGAGAAAGAAATGGAGTTGTAAAGGAGACAAACGCAGAAATAATGCCAAGAAAAGGGGCAATTCGAAACGTACACTTTAGACCAACAAACTCAAAACATAGATAATAGATCATACTATGAAATGAAATGACGTCCCACATGAAGTACAACCATTCAAATTGCTCTTCCATTGCAACTTAAAAGAGAGAAGTTCCCTTTCCTTTCTTATCCCCACCAATCTCGAAATGCTTGCACCTCTGCACAATAACCAGAGAATACTTTAGTCAGCTTCAAAATCACACCATTTATAGGAAATCCTATAACTATAAACATAGTAGTTCAAACAACCAACCTTGATTGCATGTTGGGAAACATGCTTGCATCCCTGACATTGAAGTCTCAACACAATCTTCTTAGTAGTTTTGGCCTGAATTGAGGAACAGTATAACATATGCATAAGTACTTTCACACCGTGTCTGCTTTGAATCAATCAATACCTATGAACTTTTAAACAGTGAGTACACTACAAGCAGACCTTTTTGTGGAAGACAGGCTTGGTCTGTCCACCATAACCTGATTGTTTGCGGTCATAACGACGCTTTCCTTGAGCAGCAAGGCTGTCCTTTCCCTTCTTGTATTGAGTAACCTTGTGCAGTGTGTGCTTTTTGCATTCCTTGGACTTGCAGAATGTCTTCTTAGTCTTTGGAACATTCACCTGGATGGACAAGATAAGAAAAGGTTTCACATTAATAATTTGCAACTCTTAATTACAGGAGAAGAGTTGATATTAGGGAGACCAGACTACTTGTATTAGCAAACTGTTAGATTTTAAAAATTAGGAGTGAAATTGGTTCAATGGGTACACATTAGATATGCAGTCTTCATTAAAAAGCTACAGAATATTATTTTGAATCTAAAATGAAGCCCTAAGGTCACAGCTATCATTCTTGGACTAATTTGGAACGTAAGTACAGTAATAAAAAGTATAATGCAGCCAAATACTAAAATATCAAACAAAATATGGTATGCCACTAGTTGTTCAGTATTAAGCCAGTAAACCACAAGGCCTATGATGGTCCAATCATGTGAGGAAACCCCATTTGAAATTTCATTTGAAATATATGCAGAAAAAAGCCTCCATAGGCAAATACATGTAATCCAGATAAATATACCTTGGACTAATTGCACAAGTATATCATTTTTAACCAGTATGAATTGCGTAGATTACGAATCATGTTTAGAACCATAGTTGCATATGTTTAACAAAGATGCTTAATTAGAATTAAGGATACTCCATATACAATACCATGGATGAATAAAAAACAATTCAAATTGCCAAGTTCAAGTATACAAAATTCTAGAAAGAGATTGGGGATCCTTACCATTTTTGGGTGTAGGCGATTAGCTTGGGATTGACTGAAAAGGCTTTTCTTCTCTACACCCTAGAATGGGTCTGTGCTCAACATGGGATACTTAAGGTTAGCAGAGTTACCATACCATACTTGTTCATATACCAGCACAAACTAAATGATGAAACACCAATAACAACAAAGAAGTAAGGATATGCTTTGAATTCAAGAAAAGAGGCACCCATGCTGATTAACAAAGAATTTGCAATGCTTATAATATGCTTTACTTTTTAGTCTTTTGTTGTTTAATAAAAATGTACAGTGACAGTTGTATTCCATCCATTCATTTCTATTCAACAACAACAGCCACTATGAGAGGCTTCTAAGTACTTGGGAAATTTTTCATTATTTCGAAAAAACAAATATTTAATGGTCAATCCGGTGTTGAATAGGTTTAAGGTGTGATTTATTTTTAACTGAAAACAAATGCTTTTATCGTATGATCATTATAATTCTTCTTCTACTATGTTGAAAAATCGGAGGCTCCAGAATCGAATGCATATTGAATCTCGCACATAAATAAAAAAAAGTTCGTAGGGAGGGCATATTATAAATCAAAAAAACTAGAAAAAATAAAGCTTGAGGCAAAGAAATGCTCAAACAAATTAATAGAGAGCTCAGAAAATAATAAACAGACTATAGAACAGAAATTCGTACGAATCTAATTCAATACAGTAGCGACGAACAAGAAGAAGAAGAAGAAATGAAACTTTACCAGATTATATGGACGGATCGTCGTCAGGAGGAGGGGGAGAACGAACTTCAATTATAGGGAAATTAGGGTTAGATGAAGATAACATAAATAGCATTATAGGGCCTGCGGAGAACGAGAGGCGGAGTCCTGGACTTGGGTTAGTTAATATTGGGCTTGGCTTTTAATTAAAGGGCCTATATATCCATTAGGGATTGAGCCAAGCCCAAGTGGTCCAAACATAACAATAATAATAATAATATAATAATAATAATAATTATTATTATTATTATTATTATTATTCTTATTATTATTATTATTATTAAAATAGAATATAGTTCTTTAGGGCCCAAAAGTTAACTCAAGAGATTGATGAACCTAAGATAAAAATATAACATACTATTGGCATGTATAGCAGAAGTGGGATGGATGAGATAATTTAACAGTCTTATCTATTTTAAATCTTTTTACCCACCTCATAGGCATCATAGTGTATAAATCGCCTCTCTTATTTTATAGAAATATGCATGACTAGTTTAGACCCGAAGATCAAATTTAGGGGGTATTGAATAGAGACTTCAAATGAATTTTTATTAAATTGTGGCACAGTTTGATTTGAAAAAAGTCAAATTGTGAATATAGCAATATCCTTTTTTCTTAACACATTTTTATTGATTGTTGCATTGATTTTTTTTCATTCCACCACATATTTGTTTGTTTTATATTGATTGATATCTATCCCTCAAATCATTTTTATAGAAAATTCACTATTTGACTGAAAGATGTTAATACATACACCATCCTCCCACAATTTCATAACAATCCAAAATCATTTCATCAACAAATCATACAAATTTTTATTTTCATAAGTTTAGAATTAAGCTATTTTGTTTTGCTTTAATTTAGCACGTGCTCTTTTTGTCTCATGTGATTTCAGTAAAAACTAATCTAATATAATCTATTCTGATTCAAATTATATATAAAAATGTCCCGATCTTTTTATACGGCAAAAAAACATCTCCATTAATTGGCTTCCGTAAGTGATAAAAATAAATTGAAGAAAAAAAGACATTGCCTTACAAAAGTATATAAGAACATTAATTTGTTTCTGCATTTTTAGCGTTTAAAGTTAACCAAAATAATGGTAACAAAAAAGAGGAAGAAGACTATTTTCCTTCTGCAGAGAGAGCAAGTTTACATATTAGGTCACATAAATTTTTGGAGATGACCAAAAAACCCCCCTGTGAATGTTATCTTCTTGTCAATCCTCCCATGAAAACTTATATTTATATATATACAATACAAACAAAACCTTCATTAGTTCATTCACTGCCCAAAACTATACTCTCATTTCTACCATAACTCTAATGTGTTCCTCACTTAACTCAACCATTTCTCTTCGTGTAAGACGATGATGATGTTGAATAAACCGGCGGCTGTTCGCGTATCCGAGACAAGAGGACCGAAACTTCCTTGGTTGCCAAATCGAGCCGTTCTCTCGACTTCACGGATTCCGAAACAAGATTAGAAACCAAACAGTGCAGGGACTGAACCCTTTCAGCATGGTCATTCTGGTTCACCACCTGCGCAGAGCCGCTGATTCGCCGCCACCGGAGGGGCAGGTACCTGTCTGGGATTTGGAAGCAGTTTCCGGCGGACAGGACCCGGAGGGCGTGGCGGCAGAGAATCCCGGAGAACTCGTACAGCTGGCAGCTGCAGCCTATGATGCCTTCAAGTGGGGCCCAGTAGACGTTCCGGCCTCCGTCGGATTTCGTGTGGTGTCTGACGAGGAAGCAGTCTTCCAGCTGGAAGGACGCGTAGTGCGCGGCGAGAACGAGCTGTTCTTGGAGCTTGGAGAAGGCGAAGGGGGTGAGAACCGCCGCGGCGTGAGACTCCATGGGGGCCCCGGTTTTGAGGGAGATGTTTTGAAGGTTCTGCTGCATGGTTTGTTGTTCACCTATTTGATCCTTGAAGTCCACTGCAACTGCCACCTTATTGTAATGCAAGAAAAGGGGGGAAAAGGTCAGTGAAAGAAGATGTTGTTGACTTCAACTTTCAATGGGCTAAAGATGAGATTGACTGGATGAGTAATATTTGAGAGAAAGGAGCATTAACTTCATAGGCATCAATACTAATAGTAGCAAACAACAAAAAAAAAAAACCCAGTAAAACCCCACAGACCAGACCCTACTCGAAGGTAGAGAAGTTGTTTCCAAGAGACCCAAGCTCGAGCAAGCAAGAAATATTCCCTTTGTCACCAAATTAATTGTGTTGAATAGTGTGAGATTCAGAAAAAGTGTTAGCTATTCACTATTCATCATCTTTGAAGCTATTAGCTTTTTTTAGATCCAGATCCTTCTAAAAATAAAGCAAACTAAATGATTTATTTAAATTTTAGAATATAGTGCTCAATCAATTTCGACTTCGAATGCAACGAAAAGAATGACAATATATCAATAACCTAGTTTCTCATTGACTTGGGAAGAGATGTACTCTCCTATCCTATCCTAAAATTGAGAAATATTAAAACAAGCTTAAACATCAAAGCAAAATCACTAAACACCAACATCTCAAATCTTGAAACGATGACTCATTTGAAATCACTAAATCCCCCTCTCTTTTTAACATTGCGAGATGATGATATTTTAAACTGGTTCAATGATGCTTAGTATTCCGATGTGGGTTGTGTGAGCCTAGCAATCTCCATCTCTATACAAAGCATCCAAGTTATATACAGGATGGAAGTTCCTAGTTGCGAGCGTAACGACCTTTGATCTTTCATCCTCAACCACCTTACGATTTGTGTATAAGTCGAGGTGTGGATCCCTCTAGCTCAAGCACGACAATTCACGTTTGAAAATAATTTTTCTTTTGAAAGAGCAAAAGAAAATTAAAGAAATGAATCTACACGACATATCTAATGAGTATTCCCATTGTATGCGAGAAATTATAAGGTGTTTGGAACCAGTTTTCAGAATTGTATTCCTACTTCAAGAAAGAAGCAGATAATGCATAGCACTCCAAACGTGTGATAGTGAAGAAAATGTTGAACAAACTGAGTATGCAATGAGCTGGAAAGGGCTTGTAAAATCTTGGCAGACTTGCAACCACTTCTTCACTTTAACATGTTTAGAGTGCTATGCATCATCAGCTTCTTTCTTGAAATAGGAATAAAATTTTGAAAACTGGTCCAAACAAAATTTACCTTATCATTTCCTGCATGCAATGAGAATATTCATTACATATGTTGGGTATTTATCACCTTTATTTGCTTTTGCTCTATCATAAGCAAAATTATTTTCAAACCTAAACCGCCATACTTGAGGTATAGGGATCTACACCTTGACCTGTACACAAATCGAAATGTGATCTGGGAACAGGTGGGAACTCCCAACCTGTACACAAGTTGGATGTTGTGCGCGAAATTGGAGATTGTTACGCTCACTCATGACTCAACCCACATTGGAATAACAAGCATCTTAGAACCACTTTAAAATATCTCCTCTCCTCGCAAAGTCAAAAAGAGGAAATGGAATTTAGTGATTTCAAATGTTGATCGCTTCAAGATATCAAATGCTGGTGTTTAGTGATTTTGTTTTGATGTTTAAACTTGCTTTAATATTGCTCTATTTTAAGATAGGCCAGAGAGTACATCTCTAGTCTCTACCGAAGTCAAAGAGAAACAAAGTCATTGTCATTCTTTAGATATGTGTGCATATACACTTGAAATTGATTGAGCACTATATTCTAAAATTTAAACAAATCATTCAGTCTACTTTATTTTTAAGAGAATCTCGATCTAAAAGAAAAGCTAATAGCTTAAAAACAATTGTCTTCACGAAGATTAAGAAAAGTGTTGATTTGGGGATGTATGCACGCAACCCTTATCCCTACTTGCAAGTAGAGAGGTAGTTTCCAAGAGATGTGAACAGCAACAACCTTGCTCTAAGGTCCAAGGGATGTCAATATGTCATGGAGACTAATATATATATAACAAACATACCTGCTCCACAAAATGGGCAAGCCGGGTTTGTGCACTCAAAAACCTCTGAATGAAAGCGTTGATGGACTTGGAGTGGCCAGCAGTAGTCATTCCTGCAAAGAAATGGCTTCTTAGGTATGGGAGTGCCCACAGTGATCTCAAGACAAACAGACCAGCAATATGCCTATTAGTATGCAGACCGAAGAAATTCACCATCTCTCTCCAACCCAACTCAAACTCCTCAATTGATTCCAAGTTGTACAGTCTATAAAACTCAGCTTTCCACTCGTTGTATCTTTCCCCAAGAACGGCGTTAAACCACGAAGGGAATTTTGCAACAATAAGCCATATGCAGAGAGCATGCTTGGCTGTTGGCATTGCCACGGAAATTGCCTCCTTCAGACACATGTTTTGGTCGGTCAACACGGTTTGTGGGACTTTCCCATTCATGAACCCCAAAAATGCCTTCCACATTCAAAAACAAAAAAAACAAAATTTTATCAACATTTAACCTTACTTCTGAGCCACATCATGGCCCATTTGGAACTCCGAAATTCCTAGGAAAAGAAAATGGAAGGAAAGAAAATGTCGGGAAAATAAAATATGTACTCAAACTCTAAATTTACTAAACCTCAAGTTAATTGTCTATTTCTATTACTTTGTAATATATAAAGTCAAATAAATCTAAACATGGAATGTGTGAATTTTTTTAAACAAACTTTAATCATATTCCATTTCTAAATATAAAGATGGCTTATTAGCATAATGGTCCACTTGGAGTCCAGAAAATGCTATACAAAAAAAGGAAATAATGAAATAAAATTTGACCAAGAAATCTAAAAAATATGTAAAAATAAATAAACACAAACTTGATTTCTTTTCCCATATTTTTCAAAATAAAATAAAACATTAAAAAGCTACTTTTTAGAATTTTTCATTTCCCTTACCAACCAATTTAAGTGGTCCATGTTTGTTAGAAAAAAGTAGAATTTCCACATAATACTACCATGAATTATAGTTGCCTTTTTTTTACCTTCAATGCCCATACAAATGATCTCATGTTTTCTTCTCGTAGAAGCACACAGCCAAAGAAACACGGCATACCATAATTGTTCACTCCAACCCATATTCCCACAGGCATGTCAAAAGCCGTCAAGCAATGTGTTGTGTCAAAAACCACAGCATCACCATATATCTCATATGACTGGATGGACGAGGCATATGACCAAGCAATGTTTTCCAACCTATTGTCAGAATCGAGTGTGAAATCATACTTGAAGTTTGGGTCTCTCTCCTTAATGTTTCTACACATTCTCAGCAAGTCAATGCCTTCATCCTCGGGGTCAACCTTTCTAAAGGACTGAAGCAAATTTCTAATGTCTTTCTCTGTGAATGGAAGATATCCGGGCTCCACACATTTTTCAAGTTCCAAGAGCTTCATCATTTGTTGAACAGAGATCCCTGTTTTGGCAAACATTAGGATTCGGCTCTTGTCTGAATCAGAAATGGTGCGATATGCAGGAAGGAAACGTACTTGGTTTGGCTCGAGGAGTTCATGGTTGTGGTGGTTTGCAAAACCAGTCACTATCCATTGTGGAACCGCAAGATCAGAGTTCTTACTTATACGCATATACGCTTGGCACCCACACCGAGAGGATTTTCTGTTTCTTTGAGGTTTATTTTCACTTGAAGGTTTGACTGGCGTTTTCCCGGCGCGGTGGCAGACAAAGTAGCGCCTGGTGAGTCCTTTGCCGACACCGTCTTTTCCTTCCGTTCTGTGTCGTCTGATCGAGAAGCCACACCGTTTTGCATATTCAGTGTAGAATTCATAAGCAGCATCATGGGTTGGGAATCTTTGTCCCTTATATGGGGCCAAATCGTCCCTGGTCTCCAAAGAGAGATTTGTTTGCTCAGGTGATTCCTCGGTGCTGCTTGTGTCATCCAAGGAGAAAGATCTCTGGTCTGATGTATCGCCATAAACCAACATCATATTCTCAGAATCTTCGGATATCATGGCCCTATCCACCCAACCTTGTTGAATAGAAACCTGAAATGGTTTTTAATACTTATTTTGACATTGTTTCCAAGCTATGTCAAAGAAAAAACACAAACTGACTTTTTCCCCACCAAAATCTCCAAATATTACATTGCCACTCATAAACACCCAAACAACACATTGGCAATTCACATACAGTGGACTGTGGATGACCTAAGAACTGTCTTGGAAACCACATGCATCAGTTTTTTTTTGGAGGGGGGGGGGGACTACTTCAAAAATTGTACACAGGATATTTTTACTTATCTATACATCCAGCCCCCCTAATTCTAGAATGCATTGATTATCTATAGAAAATAATTTATGGGTATGCTATTGTACATTGTTATGTTTGAGTCGAGGGGCATTGGGAATGGCCACACTACTTTTGAGTAGGAGTAAGGTCTACGCTCACACGTCCTCCGGAGACCCTACTTTTTTTGACATTTTACTAGATTTGTTGTTTCACACACCCACACCCACACACACACACAATGAGAGAAAATACAAAAGTTTTAACCATATACATTGAATGCAGCAGAAATATACTAGATGAAACTCATAACAAATTAACTACTGCTCCCTCCCTCTATCTCCAAAAAATGCAATTTCTCCTTGATTAATAAAAGAGCAAATAAAATATATGCACTTGCCTCTCAGAATAGTAAATATTTCTGACTCAGGCATCAGCCGTATCACATTCACATTGCACACCAACTAAAAAAACAGTTTTTTTTCCAGCTTCAATATATTAAAGGAGAATTACCATTTTTCAGCTCTAACTACCTTTCAAGCGTAGCTGCATAATCAGCTACATGATGACATATTCTCATTGGCTACACATTCTCCATTCTCTAATAGCTGATAGCTCTATCCGATTTGACAAAAACACAACTTTATCCATCACAGTATAAAGTCTCATTTTGAACTCATACATTTTAAGGAAAAAAGTAAATGTTTGTTGACCTTCCCATTTTGCCCCTAAAAAGGAAAAAAGTTAATGAGGGTGAGAGAGTAATGGAGGATGGGTAGAAAAAGGTGAGTGGAAAGGTTAGGGGTATTATAGCATTTTTAGTGTGTAATGTACGCCAAAAATGACTAGTACTGTAAGAGTTTGTGTACTCACATTCATTCTTATACTTTATTAATTTTTAACATCAATATTAATTTATCCCTACCCAAAAATTCAGGGTTAAACCATCTTGTTCTATCATTCTATATAGTGACCTAAAAACGTTCACTTTTTCCACACCAGGAACCCACCATCTCCGCAAATACTTTATTTCCTAAGCAATTGAAAATATCTGAATAGCACATGTAATAGATAATGCATATAACTAAACTACAGACATTTGAATGCAATACATGCCTCCAATATTATGAAAAATTGAAGAAAATAAACAAATATGGGAGAGTATATAAATTTCCAAAATGTTTTTATGTTTTTAAAAGCACAGCAAATAGTAAACTGAAACGTGAAAATAAGATCTGCCGGATAGTTCTTCAGATTTAGAATTTCGGCCGTCTAGACATTCAATAATGATATATGGAATGTAATGAAGACTGGAGATGGAGGGTACCTGGATATGGCAGAATGGATGAATTTTCGGATACAGAAGGCCGGAGACGAAGGAGGGCTTGTAGAAAACTTTTTTTCCCAGTCATTTTAGAAATAATTGGAGTTGGGCTTTAGTCCAAATCTGTACAATCACTAGGCCCGATCGCGGAAATACGTACGTAATACTACGTATTTGATATTTCTACATTAGTAAATGTTTTTGTCTTTCTCATTCTTTTTAAATCTGCTTTTTCTTTCTACGGTGGGTTCTAGTGACACCGGAGTACAGTGCCACTAGCGGTGTTACTAGAATTTTAGGGCATCTCCGGTACTCCATTTTCAAAATGATGGTTCCTACCCCTCTAACTAACTCCCTAAATCCCCCACCCTACCCCCGCCCCTGCACTCCCACCAACCCCGCCGTAAGCCCTCTCCACAAATTGCATAATAGCCACACATTTTATGGGGGGTTTACGGCGGGATTGGGATGGGGGTGTAGGGGCGGGGTAGGGTGGAAGGTTAGGGGGTAGGAACCATCAATTTTGCAAACGGAGCACCAGAGGTGCCCAAAATGACAGTGACACCGGAGTGGCACCGTATTCCAGTGTTACTAGAGCCTCACCGTTCTTTCTATTCTTTTCTACATTATATTTGGTTTAAAGATTTTGGAAAAAAAAGAAAAGAAGATGATTTTCTCTCCTTTTCTTGCCAAAATAAATTTTCCTCTACTTGGTAGATTTTGTGGTTTAATTCTTGTTTTCTTTTCTTTTTTCTTTGCCTTTTTTTTCCCTTTAACCAATTAAGAAAAATTATTTTCTTAATTAAACAAGCAAAAAATGTTCTTTCGTCTCATTTTATTTTTCATTCTCAAATTCATTGAAAGAAGAATTTGTGGGGAGTAATAAAATTTGAATGGTCACGTGCTTGATCACAATGGTGCGAACTGCACACGCCCCCCGCTGCTGATAGAGCATTCCACCGTGGGGAAATAAATGTTTTGATTTTTGAACCCCGAGTAACCAAACAAGGAAAAAGGACGAGCGAAAAGGTGATCTCTTTCATGCAAATTTCGAATCCACAAATCATAAAACAAAAAAAAAACCACCAGCATTGCCTTGAATAATTGGATCATCATCTGAGATGCTAATGGTGATGCATGCCTGAAGGTGCAATTCGGCCTGGAACTGCTCGATTTTCGGATCCATGGAGGCGATCGAGGAGCTACAGCAGCTCGCCGATTTGATGCGCCAAGGCGGGGCTCTGCTCGCCAACGAAGACGTCGAAGCCGCCGTGTCTTCATCGTCCAAGCGGCCTTCCACCTTCCTCAACGCAGTTGCTCTCGGCTGCACGGTAATGTGACTAGCTACGCTTTCCGATTTTGATTATGGATCCACGACGCGTAGCACATCAAATGCGCGTTGATCCGCGTTTATTTTGCGGTGCGATGTAGCGAGCCGATTCTCCGGCGTTCAATTTTGTAGTGATGAATGTGCACTGCGATTTTGCTTATGCTAATTATGAATGCCTGCTAAAATGCTTTGATGTGGATATTTGGAACCGATTTCTGAAATGGCCATGGTTTTAGAGATGCAAATTGGACTGAGAGTAGTGTTCTGTACGGGATTAATTTTTAGTCTCACATGAATTTTGTCAGTGCTAGAGGATTTGTAGTTTCACTGGCATTGCCTGGCATGTGGTTCTGACTGTTCACATTTTTTTTCAGGGTGCCGGTAAATCAGCTGTGCTGAACAGTGTAATTGGACATCCAGTTTTGGTGAGATTTTCTCGGCCTCCATGTCGATTTTAATCCTCTTTGAGATACATCTTCCATGTCTTAATGTGTTTGTGTGTTTATCTTAACTTGAATAGCCAACCGGAGAAGGTGGAGCTACGCGCGCTTCGGTTTGTGTTGAATTGAAAAGGGACAGTTCCTTAAGCAGTAAAGTACTTGTTTTGCAGATTGAAAGCAAATCACAAGAAGTCTCTGCAAGTTAGCCCCCTCCATTTTCTTTCACTGAGAATCATCTTTCCATGATTAAGCGTGGATTATGTATTCATAAATTTTCAGAAATAGAAATAAAGGTCGGTCATATTCTGATTATGCCTGCACCATCCTTGGCCCAACATAGGTTCTCTTCGCCGCTCTTTGCAAGAGAGATTTGGCAAAGGATCGAGCAAGAATCGCGATGAGATGTATTTGAAGCTTAAAAACAGTACCGGTATGTCTAGACTCAAACTCCTAATACTGTTAATCCATTACAAATTGATATGACTGGCTGCCAGTGATCTCTCATTTTTTTCTGCTTGGTCTCATCAATAAATGTTATGGTCAAAAACAAAGGTTTCCTTAAGGGAGTCTGTTCCCCTAATGTAAGGTTAAAACTCAGACTAATTAGAATGATATTTATGTGGAGGACAGCATTAATTATCAGCCTGATGAAATTTTAGCAGCTTACACTGGGCATTCCATTTGACTTATGAGTATCTGTACTCATGTTTTATATTTACCTGAATATGTGGTCTCTAAGATCAGGAAATTAGATTTAGTCCAACAATTCTGCACTTATTTCCATTTTTTCTCATTGTCCTTTTACTCCATTAATTTCCTAATATTTGTGGTCTACAGCTCCACCATTAAAATTAATTGATTTACCGGGAGTAGACAAAGGGCGTCTTGATAGTTCAGCAGTGAGTTACTTCCTCTCAGAAATCGATTTAGAGTTTTGAAGCCTTCATAACATGAGTTTTGACGCTTGATTTTCCCTTGCAGAGTCAGTATGTTGAGCATAGTGATGCAATATTACTTGTCATATTACCTGCATCTCAGGCACCAGAAGTTTCCTCGTATAAAGCACTTAGAATTGCAAAGGAGAATGATGGAGAATGTAAGTTTTTCCATCTTACATTTCAAGTTGCTGAATTAAAGTAAAAGAGACGTACAATGAATAAAGCATGAATAACTTCTATGATTCAGCTACTAGAACCATTGGTGTAATCAGCAAGATAGATCAGGCAGCTTCAGATCCAAAGATTCTTGCAGCTGTCCAGGCTCTTCTGCTTAACCAAGGACCACCCAGCACGTGTGATATTCCATGGGTTGCTTTGATTGGTCAATCTGTTTCAATAGCCTCAGCCCAATCAGGCAATGTTGGGGATGATTCTTTAGAAACAGCTTGGAGGGCTGAGAGTGAGAGTCTTAAATCTATTTTGCCTGGGGCTCCTCAGAGTAAGCTTGGTAGATTAGCCTTAGTGGAAAGTCTTGCTCAACAGATCCGCAATCGCATGAAACTTCGGCTACCAAACCTCCTCTCAGGGTAAACTACATCTTCTTTTAAAACCCTCCTTAATAGGCCCATTTAGTCCAAGAAGTAAAATTGAAGCTTAGTTAAATTTCAAACTTTTGCTTCTTTTTTCTTTTATAACGAACACCATCGATTTCCCTTGCAACATTAGAGTCTTGTCATGTTTGATTTCTCATACATTACTTTGTGTGAGTTATTTATATCGTGTGACAATTTTGGCTTCCCCTCGAGTTGTCTCGCTGATTGCAAAATTCTCTATATACAATGAAGTAGCCATTTATGGAAATGGTACAAATATTCTAATTTCCATTGTATCTAATATGGTAATCTCATATATTTCAGAATTATGTGTTAGATATAACAAATATTCGTAAAATTTTACATGATCACTAGTTGATGTTACGATACTACACCAGATTTAATATTTCCTTTCACGAAATACTTGATTTATCAGCTCCTTCTCCAATCCTTCCATCGAAACTCCATATTTCAATTCTAAAACAAAGGGGATAGTTTTGTTTATTTATCTTCTCTCATAGGCTTCAGGATATGTCTCAATCAGTAAATGATGAATTGGTAAAGCTTGGCGGACTGGTTCAAAGTGCTGAAGGTACAAGAGCTTTAGCTCTGGAGCTTTGTCGTGAATTTGAAGATGAATTTCTCCAACATCTTACAAGTGGTGAGGTGAGAACTGATGTCTTCTGTGGTTGTGAAACTCTTGCTTTGCTGTCTCACTTTCTGTTGGACTTGCTCTTTTTATCTTTCCTTTGTTATACCTTCTCTATATCAGAGTCAGCAATGATTTGATCTTGCAACGCATACAAGAAAGTTTTAACAGAACACATTTTTTAATAAAATCTAAATGTGTAGTAGTAAGGGGAAAATTTTGTTTAATTGATTATGTATGTATCGATGGTTGTAATTTGTGTAGGGTAGTGGATGGAAAGTTGTTGCAAGTTTCGAAGGAAACTTCCCAAACAGGATCAAGCATCTTCCCTTGGATAGACATTTTGACCTTAAAAATGTGAAGCGTGTAAGTTCCTAGTCGCTCATAGTCTCCATTTATTCTGTTTATTTTTGAAGCAATAACATTGTTGCTGTTCTTTATTATCTTATTTTATGACCCATTCTAGTTGCTCTCAGATTGTATTAGAGGCTGATGGATATCAACCTTACCTTATATCGCCAGAGAAAGGGTTAAGGTCTTTAATAAAGACTGTACTTGAGATGGCAAAAGAACCTTCAGAACTCTGTGTCGATGAGGTACTACTGCAAAAATTTTGAGTTGTCTTTTATTTTGCATTTCATTAAATAAAATAAAAAAATGCCAATAGGAAACATTGTGTTTCATGATTTCATGCTCCTCGAATGCTATATCTGCCATGGTTGAGGAAGGTAATAATAAAATTTATCATGTCCATCTTAAGAAATGACTATATGGAGAGATTATTCAGTATGCACTATGCAGTTTATGCGCAAAAGTGTACTACTAAATGCAACACAAACACACAATTAGTTAATCCAGTGAGAAAAATGCACCAAACGCTCAAAATCATAAAAATATGTTATATTCCCTTCCTGATATGTTATGTTACACCAAACAAGCCCTATATCTCTTACATTTCTTCCTTCACTTATTCTGTGGTGCTCTACTTTTAGTTACATTTTGTATCGTTCTATTTATCAAGTATCAAGTATCAACTACGCCATCAAACTTTATCTCTCTTCCATAGTTTCACTTCATCATCTTCCCTGGACTTCTTCTTGTAATTTTTCCCGATTGGTAACAAATTAACAATTCATTGATTTCATTCACTACCTTCATGTTTAGTTCATTTTTAGTTCACTTTAAACATATGCAATGGCCCATCATTAGGATACTGAGAGGTGTTTGAAAGAAAAAGACATGTTTTTTTGGCACTTTTGAGTTTTTTCGTTTGTATATATGCATGGTTAAGGTTGAGTTCGATTTTTGTGTGAACTTTTGTTATCGTAACCTTAGGCATTTTCAGGTATTATGACATGCAGGCTAAAAAAGAAGCATTTCATAATCTTCTGGAGTACTTATCTTGCTTGTCTCATTCCAAATTTCTGACTATAAAATATGGCCTTAGACCTGTTGAATTTGCATCCCATGTAGTGCATATATTAACTTTACATTTTTTTTATCTGACACCACTAGAGAATTAGTCATTTGTTTCCACATGCTTATTTTTACTGTCACCAATGCTCTTATTTCTTTTCCTTTTTTTTGAATATTCTCTTCAAGGTGCACCGGGTACTTTCTGACCTTGTCTTAGCAGCTGCAAATGGTACACCAGGTCTAGGAAGATATCCTCCTTTCAAGAGAGAGGTGAGGTTCACGTAGTCATGCCTGCATGCCCTGTCTTTGTTATGAAAGCTTCTATTGAGCTTGTAATCCATATATATATATAGGTTGTTGCTATTGCAACTGCTGCCTTAGAAAATTTTAAGAATGAAGCAAAGCATATGGTTGTTGCACTTGTTGACATGGAGCGTGCATTTGTTCCCCCACAACACTTCATTCGATTAGTGCAGAGGCGGTATGCTCTAATGTCTTATTTTTTTCTACTATAAGACTTAAAAGCATTATGTTCATTGCATGCATTAGTTGCTTTGCATCCTGATAAAATGTAGGAGCTGAACAAACGAATAAGAAAAGTAAGAGAATATGAAGTGTTTCAGCGGTCTTTAACACTTAATACAGCCCGATCGCTTTTATCTTGTGATGGCTGCATGTTGATTCTATTTGATGGTTGGATTCTTTGATGCGGTTTATAAATAAATGCATGTTTTCCCACTTCTGAGCACAGTTGTCATTGCTAATGTGTGTCAATATTTTCATTAGTTTATGCTGCATTTCCTTCCAGGTGTTCATAGTCAACTGGAACAATCTACATTATCAGATTATTATATGTTGTGGCATTGTCTCCATGATAATCATACCCAATTTGCTATTTGATAAATTAGTATCCTTTTGCTGTTCTCCAGGATGGATAGGTACAGACGAGACGAAGATCACAGAAGTCGATCTTCTAAAAAGGCATCTGAGGCAGAGTCCTCTATATTGAATAGGGTAGAACTATACCTTTTAACGTAGTTCAAAATGATTGGTCGCTAATTCTACATGTATTGCTCTGAAGAGCTAAAGTTTATTACTTTATTATCCTCTAATTTTTTTCCCTGATTTTGTTTTGCTCTATTAGGCAACCAGTCCTCAACCTGGTGGAAGCTTGAAATTAATGAAGGATAAGCCTAGTCAGCAAGATAAAGACGTACCAGAAGGTCCGGTCTTGAAAACTGCAGGGCCAGAAAGTGAAATTATAGCAGGTTTATCAATAATCCCACTTTTAGTTTTTTTATTCTAATTCAAAACAGACTCTATCTAATACAACTCTGGGTGCTTATAGTTTTAAGATGTCTCACTCAATTTTTTTGTTGAGATAAGATAAAGTCTTAAGGTGTTCTTTTGAATCATGCTGGAAATGTTTTGTTGTTTCTTAGGCATTCATTTCCACCTTGGTAACTTTTATTTGTCCATTCCGATGCACATTCATATAATGTGTTCATTCTAAACAGTGCTTTTTTAATTTTTATTTTTAGTTATTGAGAATCATTACTAATCTTTTGACCCCTCCCATACCCACCTCACAACCCTAAATATAATCTTGTAACAACGAAAAAAGGTCAATATTTTGATTATGATTCCTTGGTGCAGGATTTCTATTAAAGAAAAGTGCTAAAGCTAATAGCTGGACTAAGAGATGGTTTGTATTAAATGAAAAAAGTGGAAAGGTCAGTTGCACAGATTTTAACCACGCTCATAGCATATCATTTCTAGGAATCCTCCTCGTTGCACCAGTGGCACCATATACCATTCAATTTTATACTTTTCTATCTAAGTTTTTTCTTTATTAACTGGGATGTTGTTGTTGTTGTATTTAAGATAGTTGCTTTCTTATATTTACGTTATTTTCTAGATGGAAATGATCATTTCACTTATCGTTTTATTCATTCACTAATCAGTGTGCATTACTCTTTCACATCATGCTTCCAAACTCTAAAGGAGCCTGTCACTCAGTGTCCAATTAAATTTTGTTTCTTCATACATTAAATGCCAATATTTAATATCCCATTAACTGCTCTGATATTCCCTACCTTCGCCTCTATATTAAACTACCAAGTTCAATAAAATTCCCTTCCATTTTCCATTTTGAATTTCCCAACACAACATCCCTACTTTCTTAGACAACTCATTGGATATTCTTTCTTTAATGGATCCTGAAGCCAGTCTTCCATTTGCAGTTAGGATACACCAAAAGACAGGAGGACAGGCATTTCCGTGGTGTCATCAATTTGGAGGTTAGGAAATCAAATACATTGCTTGACATAAAATGCTATCAAGACTTAATGTTTCTTCATTGTCCTTTTTAGAATAGGAAATCTGTAAGTTTGTATGTTCTATAATCGTCTTAACCGCTTTAAATATTTAAGTCAAGAGAGCTTCAAACTCATTCAATTTATCAACTAGATTACACTATAATCTCAAACTTGTATTTTGTTTTTATAATTATTATTCTTGAATCTCAAAATAGTTGCAGCTGAAACTTAAAGATGTATGGTTTCTTTGTTCAGCATGTTATATGGTTTCCTTTTTTTCTTTTAGGTGGGGGTGTGCAAATTTATGTCACTATTGCATACTTTGTTTGATGGGAGTCAAGTTTGAGTTACTTGTTCATCTAGAGTTACAGATTGCTTAAACATGAAATATTGATGCATAAAATATTTTTATTTCTTCCATGGTGTGCAAATAAAAAAGCCAGTGCATTGTAGATTCCATGGAATGGGGGTTGCCTGATAGTCATGCATTTATTATGTCTCTTGGATACTATTGAGTGCACCTATTGACTTTGTCTCAGAGATGGTTGATACTACTGCTTTGCAAATTTATACTATAATAACGTGCTATGCAATGCAACTCAAAATTCTAAATGTGGATAAACATGATTCATTTGTTCTGTTGTTAATTTCAGGAATGTAACCTTGAAGACATGTCTGAGGAAGAAGAATCATCATCCTCCAAGAGTTCCAAGGACAAAAAGGAATATTCCAATGCATTCAAAATTACGAGCCGGGTTCAATACAAGACTGTTCTTAAAGGTAGCAATCTTTTGTAGGATTACTTTCATATTCTCTATTTTCTCACCTTTAAATGCAAATACTTCATCAGGTTCTCTAACAATTCTCATGGAAAACTAAAGTTTCAAATCATGCATTCAATGAATCCCTACCAATCTCTCATTACTTGAAACAGTTGGTTTGATATATGTCCAAAAAGAATTTATAATACTCAATTCCATACCACGCTTACTAATTTCTTTGTTACTATTGCAGCACATAGTTTTGTGATTTTGAAGGCAGATACTACGGCAGAGAAGGCAGAATGGGTAAACAAGTTGAAAAATGTCATAAGTTCTAAGGGAGGCCAGGTGAAGGCAGAAACTGGTTTTTCCATGCGGCAAAGTTTTTCGGATGGTTCAATTGTAAGTTGTGAAAGCAAAACTTCTTGTTTGATCTTTCATAAGTGATCTGAATTTGTGTCTTCTTACACGTTTCTTCTTGCTATTGAGTATTGACTGCAACAATTGAACAGCCCTTGGAGCCATTCTTTTCTTCTATGGAGTATTATATGAAACCTTCATTGCTAGTTGATCTTTGGTGCTTCTAAATTTAAAGTAAAACTATTGAACAGTAACACTAGCACTCTAGCCGACCAAATACTTACCATGTTCGATTATCATAGGATACAATGGCTAGGAAACCTCTGGACCCAGAAGAAGAACTCCGTTGGATGGCTCAGGAAGTACGTGGATACGTTGAAGCCGTTCTCAACAGTCTTGCAGCCAATGTCCCTAAAGTCAGTTTAACTTTATAATAGCCATAATTTTTTTTAATACTTTCTTCTATAGTTCTTGTCTAAATACTGTACTTTGTTCTTTTATATGGTTTTCAGGCAGTTGTTCTCTGTCAAGTCGAAAAGGCCAGAGAAGACATGCTTAACAAGTTGTATATTTCTATCAGGTTAGCTTATCATTTCCTTATAGCACCGTTTTTGCCATCACTTTTAGGTAATTGAAAATTTTGGCCGAAACGTGATGTGGCTAAATGATTGAATGAGCTAAAAGTGTTGATAATACAAAATTTGGTAGTAACGCCCCGTGTTTGATAATAAGGGTAAAAAAGTGATTTTTTTCTTTCATAGCAATCATTTTATCCAAACATATAGCTCATGATAGTAAGAAGAAACGTTCTTCTACTCTACCAAGAGGGACTTATGTCATTTTGAAAGCATTTTACATGAAAATTTACTGTTGGATTGTCTCCATTTTCCGTACAAGCGTGTTTACTTTGTGCTATCGTCTTCACTATCCTGATTTTGTTTTACCAAATTGGAATGGATAGTGGACAGAGTTTGTCAAGGATTGAAGAACTACTGATGGAAGACCAAAATGTAAAGCGTAGGCGGGAGGGGTGTCAGAAAAAATCCTCTCTTCTTTCTGAGATTACTCGAAAACTAAATACGCTCGACAACCGGGCAACAAGTGCTTCAACCTTCTCTGAGTATGATGGACCTGGTATTTATATCTCTCCACTTGAACATTTCTATCCTATTCTTGTGTTTGTTTTACTGCCAGTCTGCCATTTGTTCTTTACATGTAATTTTTCCCTTACATGAATAATAATTATATACACAGAAAGAGCAAACGATTCGTCAACAGATGAGTGGACATCTGCATTTGATGCTAATTCTGGTGATTCAACATCCAGGGGACGCCGGGCACCTTCTCGGCTGCCCCCTGCCCCGCCCGATTCTTCATCATCTGCCTTCAAATATTAGAAGTAGACTAATATCACAGAGCATATATAACAACAGGAGCGACTATAGGTTTTTGACCATCCCTGCAATTGATTGTCATTCAATTTTCTACATTGCACATTTGTGTTTTTTAAATCTTGGTTTTCTGACCAATATATTGATTTGAACTTGTCCCAGAAAGTAAAAGATCTGAATTTGTTTACTCGTACGTTTTAACATTTGATAAGCAAGGGAACTCCTTAATGTTGCACTCAAATCTTATTGTACAATTACCAGAATCCATTTGTAAATTCTATCATGGGCTATTTCTCCTAACGTTTATGAATTGTCTTTTCTGAAAAGAAAAACAATTGTAGTGATTAATTACTTGAACGCCATCCATATCGTCTTGGGACCTCATTCATGTAATAATTTTGTCACAAGTTTGAATTGTCACACAAAAAACCCCTTCCTACCCATAATTTTCTTTCTAGTTTTGACTTTTGAGGTTAAACTATAAAAACAATTTCACCAAGATTTGTGTAAAAGGTATATTAGTTGTCCTAATGTGAAATCAATATCATTAAATTTATTTAGATGTCTTGAAAATTGAAATAGAGTTAATACTCATTTTGGTCCTTCTAAGTGCACTCACGATCCAATTTGGTCCCTATAAGTTCATTTGAGTCAAATTAGTCCATATATATAGAACATGTGAATCAAGTTAGTCCTGCGAACGGAACTTATCTCCTAAAATTCTGAGTTATCACGTCAATTGATGCAAGAATTGTTAAGCTGTGTATTAGTTTTTGTGTCAATCAGCATGTTAATTTAGAATTTTAAAAGATAAATTTTACATAAAAAACTAAATTGATTCACATTTTCTAGTTACAGGGACTAATTTGACTAAATCAAACTTACAGCGGACTAAATTGACTCACAAGTCATAAGTGCACTTACAAAGACTAAAACGAGTATTAACTTATTGAAATATCATAGCTTTAGACGATATTTGAGATTGCTCGAGTTATTATTTTAGCCACACAATTTAAAATATTCATGAGTAGTTTTTCAATTTATGTTTCTGTCTTTAAAAAGAGTTGAGAATCATTTCGTCATTGCAGACATTTCAAAATGATTCTATCCATTATAAAATTGAAAATCATTTTTAAAAACAGTGCCACACATTCTTTCAATATAATACGAAGTATTTCTGTGTAGAAATTTAAAGGATGGATGAAGTAAGCTTAGGATTCATGCTAGAATCTCACCACAGTTGCATATACGAATGACAATCACATGTAATTTTATAAATATACAGATGATAATCATTTGTGTTCACAGATAATTATTGTCTGTGTATGTATAAATTATACTCCCTCCGTCCGGATTTTAAGTTCCCACTCTACGCTTTTCTCCGTACGGAAATAAAGTTCCCATTCTACGTTTTTATCAACACTCTTCCAAAAATACCCTTTTCATTAATTGGCAATCCCTCTTTCATTTATCTTCCTTCTTTTTTTCTCTCTCGGCCCTTCTCTCTTTCACTTTATCTTCCCCATCCAGCCACTTCCTCTCTTCTCTTCCTCACATTCTTCTTCTTTAATTCTCCACCCCCTTCTATCACATCCCTCTTTCTCTCAAATTGGCTCCTCCTTTTCTTCTTCTTTTTCCCTTTC